CGAGCCACTACAGTATGATAAACTGACAGAAATGTGGTAGAAATGCTATAATTATAAATGAACACATGAAATATGTCATAAAAGAAAATTTAATGATCAGAAAATATTACAACAAATTACTATATTTTAGATAGGTCTTTCACTCTAATGTGTTATAATTAAAAACATTTCTATTCTTTGCTCTTACAAATTCTTCAATGCTTCCATTACAATTAAGCTGCCGAAAAAGATCTACTTCTCTACATAATAAGGATAATGAATTGAGTCTTTCTTGAATCATTATTGTATGCTGAGGGTTTCTGAGTCTCTTTAGGGACAAAAATGAGCATTCTGTTGTGTAGCCTGTGATCTTTAAAGTTAGGAATATGCATAAAGCAATTTCAACATTGTGAAAAATGCATTGTATTTATCTTCTATTACGGAATCATGTATGCCTACATGAGTAAAATTTGTCTTTCCTAAATCTGTAAACTTAGCTCTTATGTAAGAATGAAATTGTCACATTTCTCTGTAAAGGTTTGTATTTAAATAACCGAGATAAGTCTGCACTAATTTCTTGGATGCCTTCACGCATTCTTCATCAGGTATATCCACATTATTTAAGAAGGAAAACCTATTTGAAAGAACTTCATACACTTTTGCCCTTCTTTTCATGCAAGATTCAAGTGTGTCAATGATGGTGTAGTATGTGGTTATGCAAAATTGATCTCTGGCACTCAACACTTCTGGAGCATCATTTATTTCTTTCTAATGCTTCCGAGATGGTGAACTGCTTGATGATCAGTATTTGGTACTATTTGTTTTGCTGTTTTCAAAAATCTCAAAGTCTCCTCTTAAAGTATGTAAATACCCTGTTAATAAATGGTAGAGATTTGTGCATGTCTTTTACTTCTGAATCTTGGAGAGCTTGACTCGTCTGATGAAAATGCTGCAATATATTATTCCACATACCCAACATAAATATTCTAGCATTTGCATTTTGTTAGGGATGTTTTTAGCTTCTCTTCTGGTATCTCCTTTTTTGTGTCTGGTCTTCAGCAATATTTTCTAAGGCATCTAGAATCTGAGTGTACAATTCCAGGACTCCACTCATTGCTACAGCATGCACTTCCCAACATGTATTAGAAAGACATTTTAATATTTGATCACTGCCTAAATATGTTTTTAAGAAATGCCCATTAGTGAGAAGTGGCAAAAAATGTGTAGAGTAACTGAATGGTAGAAAAAAAATCAACTGCTTCCAGATAACAATCTATTGCACTACATCCTTAAAGATTTAAGTGAATGTGCAGCACATGGTATAAAAATAGTTTATTCACTATGTTCTAAAATTTTCTGTTGTATGCCTTTATAATGCCCTGACATATTGGCAGCACTGTCACAGGACTGGAGTCTGCACTCAGAAAAATCAATTTTGCAAACTTCACATAAATAGTGAAGTACCTTGATTTGTGATTTCTTCACTGGTATGATTTTTTAAGCTAGTAAATGTGATAAATCTCTTGACAGTTTTTTCCATCTGTTGGAGATATGTATATTTAAACATTACTTAGCTGATCTGTATGAAAAGATCAGGAGTGGAATCTACAGACAAACTGAAATATCAAGCTATACTTATTTCACTGAAAATAGTTGATCAAACTGTATCATTTATTAAGTTTATTAATTCTTCACACATTGTTGTAGACATATACGACATGTTTCTCTTTCCTGTGTTACCATATTTTGAGATGTGACCTGCTAAAAGTGGATTAAGCTGAGTAACAAGTTCAAGTAAACCCCCAAAATTCCCACTTCATGGGGACCCAAACACTTCATGTCTTCCTCGAAAAGACAGTTCACATTCAGCGACTGTTATGACAGCAACAATGCGTTGCAAAATGGCTTTCCAATACCGACGTTCTTCATTAATTTGTGTTTCCAGTTCATGAGTTAAGCCAAAACCATGTCTTCCATTTAAATATGACAACATAGAATCTCTGTGAATTGAACCATTTTCATGTTTATCAATCATATTCAAGTTGGGCCAATTGCTAAATTCATCTGTAGCAAATACAGAATTAAATGATTTAGGAGTGAAGAGTCTGCAAACAAAACAATATACAGAGACAACTGATGGAGAATACAGTAGCCACTCCCTCTTATAATTTTAACCATTAGCTTTGCACACTAGAAATATATTCTGGCTACAGAACCATGTTTGTTTACCATCCAGAAATTTTCAACACTAATTTTCAAATGGTCCACTGTGATGTTGACAATCACTTGGCTTTCTTTTGATCCAATAATTTACATTATTAGAAGAAAAATTATTCCACAAAGCAAGATCTGTACTGTTATTTCTGGGGTCTGCAGATGTGACCATTTCAGATTCTAAAATAGTTTCACTTTCTACCATTATTAATTTTACTACAGCAAGGAATGAAGGCTGAATTTGGAACACATTCTGTTACGTTTGTACTGCTATTAGTAATTTTAACAGTAGCAGTCTAGTACAATGATTTGTACCCATTAAAATTGAGAGTTCAATGGAAGAAGTCTCTTCTGATTCATTATGTTTTAAAAAGGAAGTTAATTTTGGAATTGTCTTTAGGGATTGACAAATCCTTCTCTTCTTATCTTCTGTGAGCTTTCATGTTTGCATTCCACTTAGTTGTTGCCATTTCATTTTACCTAGATACACTTCTAAAAATTTGATTCTACTGTAGCAAATACATCTGAATAATTTAAAATAAAAAATTTATAAAACAATTAAAATTTACATCTGAGTTGGAATCTAAACACAAAAATTTATATTTCAAAATTAGTAAGTAAAAAAAAAAGTTGTTTTGGAACATGTAATTTTGTTCTTCAGGCCTCAGATGGTCAAAAGAAATAGTACTTATAAGGCAGCTGGAAATAATTTCATACACTGGTTGCACGATGTTTGTTGGTGGGACCTTTGCAAATCTCAAGTGTTTCTCATCTTGAAATAATAAACTTGTGCACTGACTCTCCGTCCTTTGATGCTCCATCTTCACAGTTCATTGACTACTGTTGATACCAACGGGTGTAAGAGTGATCACGAACAGCATGATACAAATACAAGGGTATGCTCAATCTGAAGATGCGTTTTGGTTTGCTTTGTGCAGGACAGGATCAGATACGTCATGAATCACATGATTATATGTCGCTGGAGTGTTCTTATGTGGTTGACAAGAGAACTGGAATAAACAAAAATCTATGTACTCATTTAGGAGCCGTGGTGGCATACTGGTCAGCTGCTAACTAAAAGCTCAGCAGTTCAAATCCACCAGCTGCTCATTGGAAACCCTATGGGCCAGTTCTACTCTGTCCTATAGGGTTGCTATGAGTCGGAATCGACTCGATGGCAAAGGTCCGGTTTATAATATGTGCTACTTGCTATGTAAAATGTATTTCTTACTATGGCCATGTTCAAAAAGGCTGAAAATCACTGGTCTATGAAAGTCTTTAGAACTATTGCCAATATGTCAATATTTAAAATGTATAAATGTATATGTATTTGTGCATGTATATGTATTTTTTTGTTAGCTAAAGCCATTATAACACATTTGAAACAGATCAAAAGGGACCTGATTTTTTCTTTTTATATTACATGAGAGCTATTAAATGATTATATTCCCCTTCCCTATTCCATTAACCCTCTGTTGACTCTCCAACAACATCAAACAAAGTATGAAGGAATCAGCATTTCATTGCTCACTTATCCCTGCTTATTTTGACTGAAGTACCCTCAGGTGCCTGGTAATCAAGGTTAGTTTCATGATGAGGATCATCCATGTTTTAGGGATGGAGCTTTGGGATGATAAATTATGACCAGTAACCAGAGGTGAGAAGGAATCCTGGTGGCATGGTGGTTAAAGTGCCTGGCTGCTAAGTCGTTCAAACCCACCAGACTCTCTGTAGGAGAAAGATGTGGCAGTCTGCTTCCATAAAGATTTACAGCACTGGAAACCCTATGGAGCAGTTCTACCCTGTCCTATAGGGTTGCTATGAGTCAGAATGGACTTGACGGCAGTGGGTTTGGTTTTAGTTTAACCAGAGGTGAAGACTGTGGGCAGTCAAAAGAGATGTTAAATGCCAAGTTGAAACATTCTATTCATGGTGGTTCTTTATCCTTACCCAGCCTACAAAGCTTATGAAGCTATATGTCTGATTGAGCCTGCCTGCAAAGCTGGAATGTTAGCAGGCTTATTTCTGAACACATCCCAGTAAAGCTGAGACTAATTCAATGAAGCTGGAATGAACCTTGCCACTCACAGCTTATGATATGATAGAAAAAAAAAAAACTTTTATTAAAAAAGGTGAGTAGCTGCGGGAGGTAATTAGCCTTCCTGGCTAGAAAGATGGATAAATTATTATGATACCACATTCCTCTCTTTTAAGAAACAACTTCATAGCCACACTTTTAATATTTATTCCATCATCATCTTAAACTCTTCTCTTATGATTCTCTTCCTCTGTATCATTCATTACCACTTCTTCAAAGAGTCATTTCAAAATAGATATCAGGTATCACTTCCAGTACAAAAGAGGGAAATAACTTCCTATCATTAGATACTTTGGGCTTCAATTCAGAAACTTGAAGCATATATTAATCATTTACTGGAATCATTTCACCTATTCATTTAGCAAAAATTTTTTGAGTGCTTTCTTTATATACCAAGCACCAGGGATATAAAGAGGAAGACAAAGTCCTTGTCATCCAAGAACTCTCTGACATGCACAATATATTATTTTACCAGTCTGACTTTGGATGTCATTCACTCCAGGGGAACATATATTTGGTATCCCAAAAATAAAACAACCCTTTCCTGAATAAACAAATAAATGAATGAATGAATGAATGAACCAACTCAGGATAAACCTGAATTCAAATGGATACAAGGTCTAGCAAGAGGGATGTTCCTGATTGCTTTTCCACTATTGGTCCAGCCCCCGGGGTAGTATTCACTCAAGACATTTAATGTTGAACTTACCGGTTCCTCCGTGGAAGGCTCCTCCATATTTAAAGGGATTTTTGATTCAATGTCTTCCCACCCAGGAAGGTGGTTAGCAGCTGAGGTGTCAGTAACAATGCCACCATTTTGTACCTTGATGCCATTTACTGCCTGGCAGGTGGATGGTACATGGTGAAAGAAAAGGCTCTTCTGTGGCATGGGCAGAAACCAGGCCACAGCAAAAGCTACAGAAACACAGGTAAGAGAAATGACGTTCAGGCTGAACAGGGACCAGTCTGCCACTGAGACAAGGATTTGCCCCAGGATGGAGCCCACCGTGAAGCCCACCAAGGTGGCACTTCGGCAATAACTTGTGACTTTCTGGTACATGCCCAGATCTACCACACTGTAGATGTAAGAGTAATAGGCAATTTCAGTGGCTGTGGCAATGCCATAGAAGAATTCTAAGAACTGAATGGCCAGCAGTCCCTGGGCATAGAGCAGCATGAACCACGTAACAATAAGGCTGAGTCCCTGCAGTAGAACAACAGGTTTATAACGGAGGTAGTCTGTAGCAAGGAACACAGGAAACAGTAGCACTAGATATGAGTAAGTCCATACTGGATAAATTTCATTGAAGACCTGGTAGAAAAAGACAAATAAAAAGCTATCAGTGACATCAAATGGAACATTTGTAACAATTTATTCTTATAAAACAACCTATCAATACTTCAAATACTCATCCTAATCAACCGAAGAACCCTTGGCAACAAGAACAGAAGTTCTAATAACTATTTCCAATATCCTTCCCCACACCCACCACCACCATCCTTAATAAAATCCTTCCCATTCATCAAGGCCTAGTTCAAGGGCTTCCTCATCCAAAAAGACTTTGCTGGAGCTGAGAGTATTTGTATTACAACATTCGCAGCTCTCTATTGATATTTCTTTGTTTGTGTCTGTTATGGATTAAATTGTGTCCCCCAAAATGTATGTCAACTTGGCTAGTCCGTGATTCCCACTATTGTGCCTACCATTTTGTCATCTGATGTGATCTTCCCGTGTTGTAAATCCTACTTCTATGATGTTAATGAGGTAGGATTAGCAGCAGTTATGTTAATGAGGCATGACTCAATCTACAAGATTAAGTTGTGTCTTAAGTCATTCTCTTTTGAGATATAAAAGAGAGAAGCGAGCAGAGAGACAGGGGGACCTAATACCACAAAGAAAGAAGCACTGGGAGCATATCGCATCCTTTGGACCCGGAGTCCCTGTGCTGAGAAGCTCCTGGACCGGGGAAGATTAATGACAAGGACCTTCCCCCAGAGCTGACAGAGAGAGAAAGCCTTCCTCTGGAGCTGGCACCCTGAATTCAGACTTCTAGCCTCCTAGACTGTGAGAGAATAAATTCCTATTAGTTAAAGCCATCCACTTGTGGTATTTGTTATAGCAGCACTAGATAACTACGACAGTGTCAGTCTCCCCAAATACCTCATGGCACTTGTTCTCAACCCTGGCTGCACATCTCCCAGGGAACTTTTAAGTAATACAGATGCCCAGCCATAGGCATTTTTAAAAAACTTTCCACAAGATTTTAATGTAAGCCATGATTGAGAACCATTGCCTTATAGATTTTTTAATGGTGGAACCCGTGTTCATGTGTACAACCTAGCCTCAATAAATGTTCTGGAAATTGAAGCATCATCAATTAATTCTTACTTCTAGCCACAGGGTAGGGAGCTTGATCCTACTGTTTGATTTGATTTCTCTAATTTCAGTTTTTGTTTCTTTTAGGATAAAGGAAAAGGTAACTCAACCCACTGCCATTGAGTCTATTCTGACTCATAGTGACCCCATAGGGTTTGCAAGGCTGTAATCTTTATGGGAGCAGACTGCCACATCTTTCTCCCATGGAGCCTCTGGTGGTTTCAAACCGCTGACCTTTCAGTTAGCGGTCAATTGCTTCAACCACTGTGCCACCAGGGCACCTGTAAAAGAATAGGTAAAGAGGGTAGTAAATCTCTCCTACAGTCTTGACAGGATAACTATCTCTGGATGGTAGAATTATAGGCAATTTGTATGTCCCTTTTGCTCTTCTGTAACATGAAAAACATAACAACAGGAGTTGTTGCTATTTTTTAATGCATATTTTTAAATTAGATATAGTAGAAATAATCTTTAAAATAAGCTTTAAACCAGAAAGATCTCAGCTGGAATTTCAGTTCTATTATCTGCTAGCTATGTGATTACAGGCAAATTTCTTTAGTTCCCCTTAACCTCAACCTTCATCACCAGTAAATGACAGATATGTCCTACTTCATAGGGTTGTTTGTTGCAAGAATTAAATGAGACAATGCATGTAAATCACTTACTATGCTTTATTTAGTTATAGGTCTGAAGACTAGAGTATAGAAGCTGAAACACACACCATCAGGGGCAATGTGAATAACTAAATCAACTGGACTGTCATCCCCATTCTTCCAAGACATTCTACCTCTTCTTACACCTACCCCAGTGTCTAACAAAATCCTGACAGCTGAGGTAACTTAGTTTTTTAAATGATCATTTTAAAGCCTGGATCAATGGCCCCACTTTTTAAGTGCTTTCTGAAACGTAGTATTTAACAGACTAAATACTCTGTGATGGAACAGTCTAATCCTGGACTTTGACAATCTGAGACCAAGGGTAACTCTCTTTTTAGCTCTCATGTATACCTCAGTTGGCCCCAGTGGAAATGGGCCAATTTTTCCAGTGTTGTAGAGGAATAATAAAGTAAATAAGTATTATGAAATCTTTTGCCAGTTCAGAGCACAAATATAAAATAAAATATAATCCCCATTTTCTGAAATACACTCCAGACTTGATTTCTGACTGGGCAAATATCAAAAGTGATTTGTTTAAAATCTTCATGAATTTTGGTCTAATTCACATTTGTACATCAGTTAGCAACCTCCACGTGATCAGGAAATTTTGTTGCACCTGCATATGTGCATGAAAAAATAATTGAGAACTGTAGAAATGATCCTTCAAAAGTGTGGACATTTCAGGAAATGAGGAACAGAGTGCACTTGACTGGTGTGACCACAGACTAAGGCTTCTCTCAGCACAAAACCAAAGGAGCAAGGTAACCTTGAGGATGAAAGCAGTTAAGAGTGAAGGGTTTCCTACAGACTTCACAGAGAGCCGTGTTTTCAATTAACAGCTTTCCACTTCTTTTTTTTGTCTAGTTTTGCAGATACTCTCCTTCAGTTTTCTTATGTTTGAAAACCACCTCCTGTTTGACTCAGCATGTTTCTTCACTACACATCTTCAGCAGTACTTTGTTTTGCAAAACACAGTGCCACAAAGCTACTAGCCTTCAAATCTTTCCTTTAAAAATGTCCTCTATCAAAATAAGAGCCGTCACATGAATAGATAACATGCACACCCATGTTCACTGCAGCACTGTTCACAATAGCAAAAAGATGGAAACAACTTATGTGCCCATCAACAGATGAATGGATAAACAAATTATGGTACATACACACAACAGAATACTATGCGACGATAAAGAGCAATGACAAATCCACAAAACATCTTACAACATGGATGAATCTGGAAGGCATTATTCAGAGTGAAATTAGTCAGTTGCAAAAAGACAAATATTGTTATGAGATCACTATTATCAGAACTCAAGAAAAGGTTTAAACACGGAAGAAAACATTCTTTGATGGTGATGAGGTGGGGAGGGAGGGAGAGGGGTATTCACTAACTACATGGTAGATAAGAATCATCTTAGCTGAAGGGAAGGACAACACACAATACAGGGGAAGTCAGCACAACTGGACTAAACCAAAAGCTATTAAATTTCCCGAACACAACCAAACACTTTGAGGGACAGAGTAGCTGGGGCTAGGGTCTGGGGACCATGGTTTTCGGGGACAGCTAGGTCAATTAGCATAACAAAGTTTATTAAGAAAATGTTCTGCATCCCACTTTGGTTAGTGGCTTCTAGGGTCTTAAAAGCTTGTGATCGGCCATCTAAGATGCATCAATTGGTCCCAACCCACTTGAAGCAAAGGAGAATGAAGAACATCAAAGACACAAGGAAACTATTAGCCCAAGAGACAAAAGGGCCACATAAACCAGAGGCTCAATCAGCCTGAGACCAGAAGAACTAGACGGTGCCGGGCTACCACCAATGACTGCCTTGACAGGGAAGACAACAGAGAATCCCTGACCGAGCAGGAGAAAAGCATGGAGCAGAACTCAAATTCATGTAAAAAGACCAGACTTATAACGGTCTGACTGAGACTGCAGGAACCCCTGAAGCCACGGACCCCGGACGCTCTGTTAACTCAGAACTGAAACCATTCCCGAAGCCCACTCTTCAAAGATTAGACTGGACTATAAAATATAAAATAATACTCGTGAAGACTGTGCTTCTCAGTTCAAGCAGATACACGAGACCAAATGGCAGCTCCCGTCTGGAGGCAGGATGAGAAGGCAGGAGGGGACAGGAGCTGGCTGGACGGACACAGGAATCCCAGGAAGGAAAGGGGGAGTGTGCTGTCACATTATAGGGATTCCAACTGGTGTCACATAACAACATGTGTATGAATTTTTATAAGAGAAAATAAGCTGTAAACTTTCATGGAAAAAATAAAGTCCTGTATCACTCCTCCAATTCTCCATCTTCTTCTGTTTTCCACCAAACCCCTTGAGACCTTTGTAATATTGTCTGTACTTGGACACTTTACATACCTTTCAAAAATGCTGTTAGTTGCTAGCTGCTATCAAGTCAGTCCCAACTCATGGTGACCCCATGTTTTACAGAGTAGAAATGCTCCATAGAGTTTTCTTGGCTGTAAGCTTTACAGAATCAGTTTGCCAGACCTTTCTTCTGCAGAGCTGCTGGGTGGGTTTGAACTGCCAACCTTTAAGTTAGCAGCTGACTGCAAACTGCTTGTGCCACACAGGCTCCTTTAGATGTCCCAGAATGATTAACTGCCAAGTTTCCATTGTTTAAACCCCATCCTTTTAACTACCAATTTACAGTGTCTACAATTACAAGTCTAATTCTACTCCTAGTATAAAATCACCACTTAGATAATGAACACAAAGGAAAGTAACACAGTCAACCTTGCAGTGCCAACTAAAAACAAAAACAAAGGCAACTGGGGGGAAAAGACCAGATAGATTATCTTTAGTTTATTCTAAATAAAAGACCTGTACTCTATCTCATGAGAGATACCAACCTAAGGTGAACGTCCCTCTAACACAATTATCAGCATTATAATAGCAAATCTCTACTGATGTGCTAAGGAACCCTAGTGGTGCAAAGGTTAAGCAGTGGGTTGCTAAAGTGAAAGGCTGGAGGTTCAAACTCACCCAGCCGCTCCATGGGAGAAAGCCGCTCTAGGATGTAATCTGCTCCTGTAAAGATTACAGCCTAGAAAACCCTATGGGACAGTTCTACTCTGTCACATGGAGTCCCCATAGTCAAAAATCAACTTGATGGCACCCAGCAACAACTGGTGTGCTACACACTATGCTAAGCACTTTACCTGAATTACCTCATTTAATCCAAACAATAGCCCTATGAAGTAAGTATTTATTTTTAGCATCTCTATTTTACAGGTGAGGAAACTTGGCCTTAGAGAAAGGTTAAGTAAATTGTCCAAAGTTATCACATCTAGTAATTGGCAGAGGGAGAATTTGAAATTATGAATCCACCACACTAAAATGCCTCCTTTCTTCTAACAGAACTTTTATTGATCATTATTGTGTTCCAGGGTCACTTTTAATGGCTGCAGCAGCTTTTTCAATCTTCACTGAGGTGAATTTATAGGGCACTTTCCCTGGGTGGCGCAAACAGTTTGTGTTCTACTACCAATCAAAGGATTAGTGATTCAAACCCACCCAGTGGAGCTGCAAAACAAAGGCCTGGCAATCTGCTTCTGTAAAGATTACAGCCAAGAAAACCCTATGGAGTTCAATTCTACTCTGTAACACACGGGGTCGCCATGAGTTGGAAGTGACTTGATTGCAATGCATTGTTTTATGAAGAAACAAAGGAGATACAGTCCCCAGGGCTTAGCCATTGGGTCTCCAAAGGCAGTCTCTTCTCTTTCAATGCTATCAATGAGAAGACTTTAGAACTGAAATTGCTTCTTTGATAGATACCTTGAATCTTGAACGGAAACTTCCTACAGGCAAAAATGTACAAATTACCAACCAAAACCAAACCCACTGCTGTGGAGTCGATCCTGACTGAAAGTAACCCTACAGGACAAAGCAGAACTGCCCCATAGGGTTTCCAAGGCTGTAAATCTTTACAGAAGCAGACTGTTACATCTCTCTCCTGAAAATTGGCTGGTGGGTTTGGACTGCTGACCTTTCCATTAGCAGCCAAGCGCTTTAACCACTGCGCAAACGGGGCTCCTTGTACAAATTACAGACCCTTATTAATTATCCATAGCATAATTTCTCATCTTAGGTAAAACCTGCCATGTGAGCAAAGGAATTTACTTTATTCTAATTAAGATGCTTTTCACAACTCTTTGAATCAGAGCATATTTATCTTTTCTTCTGAGATACAAAATGTCAATGGAAAACAGATGTTCAATTTTAAACACTCAGATTTAGACTTTATTCTAGAACCGTGTCTCAATTAAACAACCATTTAGTAAGCACTTATTTGTAGAACACTATTCTGAAGCTGTACAGAGGAGGTTACAAAAGAAGAATAAAATCAAGCCTCAGCTCTCCAGGAGTTCTGAGCCTAGTGAAGACTATATATACACATAGTGTTACGAAGGAAATAGGAAATATGAAGTTGATTGTTTGAGATGGATCTTGAGGATGAGAAAGTTAGTGGTTAACAGAAATATATCAACAGATATATATGGAAAGATTAGTCCAAGCAGAGATCACATCTTTGAGTGTGACTAGTAGATTAAAGACTATGGATATAATGGATTTGTGATTACAAGATTAATGTGAACGAGGCTGGGGTAAGTGGAAAAGGGCAAGGAGAAAAAGGATGTGGTGGGAGAGAAGGCTGTCAAAGAGGTAAGTGCCAAACTCTGTAAGACTCTGAATATCAGGCAGAAAAGGTGGGATGTTTAAAAAAAAAAAAAAATCAAAGAAAGGCAGGGAATATCTGCCAAACCACATGCTAAAAAGATGTAAGGATAAAAAAAGTGTTGGAGATAAAGAGCTCTACCTCTATTTTATTCAATGTTTGGCTTTCAGCTATTGAAATGCAGTCAAATTCTAACCTATTAAAGACATAAAGTGGTACCTGTTTTTAAAGGTAACATTTTTCTGAAATCTAAGGAAAAATCCTTTGAGAATGGAAAGAGGAAATTCTCTCCTTTTTTCCTCCTTTTATCTTCGAACTAGGTTAACAATAACTCTAAGATGATCCAATTTAGTCCTTCTGAAGTCTTCTAGTGGGAAATACAAACTTAAATATAAATGTCACTGAACATGACTTGGCATTCACTTTGCCTAATAATTATGTAATATTTTAGATTTAACTATACATTGCTGAAAGCAAGCACTCAGCTGGGAAGGAGAACAAGTTGTTCTATTTATTTCAATTTTTAGCTATTCAAAAAATCTAGGGTTCTCTGCAGGGTGAGAAGAGCCATACCGTGCACAACTGACAGAATCAGTCATGATTTCGAGGGCCGCAGAGAAAAATGACACCCTGGTCCAGACCACCAGATTTCTCTTCAAACCCTACTGTCTTCCTCATCTAATCTGCAATACAGAAGTGGACTTAACGCTTTTGTTACACAATCAGCAAATATTTGCTGGGCCTGGCACCCCTGCTTTATTTCTACGCCTCCTGAACATGTTTCACTCATCCTAAGAATGCTTCTGATAAGACAGGGCACATGACAGCACATCACAGAGCAGCCCTCTGCCCAGGGCATGTGACAAACCAGATCACCTTTCAAGTATCAACACTGGGAGCAAGCTTATTCCCCATGTGCTCCTCTGTCAGGCAAGGTGCACAAACTGTGCAGATCACATGGCAGTTGTCAGCAGCATACAAGCAGTTATCATTTCTGCCTCAGTGGCTATACCTCAAATTCAGTGGTGGTTTTGGGTCTCCAAAATCATTCTCTCATATTTAGTGCAGTAATTTTCTTCTTGTAAAATCATTCTGTTCACAAGAGTAAGCCGCTGTTTTTACCCAACAGTAAAATTCAAAGAGGTGATGAATAACTCTTATAGTCCCTTGCAGAGTGGTTCATAAGACTGAGAAACAGATGCTCTGAGGTTGGGTAAACATCAGTGATACTTGCAAGGGGTGAAACAGTGTCTGAAACTCAAATGAAACCCTCAATCCAGGATCCAGTACTAGCTCTCAATTTCCTCTCAAGTGCCCTTGAAAATGGACCAGCAATGCGAGTGTTCTAGCAACAACAAATTGGGCTATGAGTAATTACATTCTGCTAGTCTACAAATGATTCATATAGTGCCAGCTCTCGCTCTAATCTCTTACGCAGGTTACTCAAAAGAGGTGACAACTAACCACAGGGGGAAGAGTCAGGTGTAAATGAGAAGAGCATTTTGTAGCAACTGGGGCAGGGAGGGGAGTCCTGGTGGCTTGCGGTTAAAAGCTTGGCTGCTAACCAAAAGGTCCGCAGTTTGAATCCACCAACTGCTCTGTGGAAACCCTATTAGGCAGTTCTACTCTGTCCTATAGGGTGGCTATGAGTTGGAATTGACTCCACGGCAACGGGTTTGGTTTTTTGTTTGTTTGTTTGTTTCAGGCAGGGAGACAGAGTGGGAGGAAAAGAAGGCACTGGAAAAAACAACTAACCAAACAACAACAATAAAAAATCCAGCAACCTAGCTAAGGAGTGGCCACTCGGTGAATACTAGGAAAAAGAATACCAAACCTTAGCTTTCATGCTTTGTTATGTTCCAAGAAAAGGTTGTTGAATCTGGTTTATTTTGGTTTTGTGGTAGCACTTTGAGATTAATTCCTTTTTCAGCTTATATAATGCCTTTCTTCTGCAAAGAGCAAGTGTTGGGATTGACCATATACTTTAGAGTTAAACATACTTCTAAAATACACTATGCACCTCTGAAGTACTTTATAAATCCCCTTCTAGGGAAAATCAATCAGCAAGAAGTTCTTGATCATCCACTGGGGGTTCTCAATCACCCTGAGCATCACAGGAGCACTGAAGCTTTCAAAGATCTCATCATCTAGTTGAGCAGTAAAACTAACATCTGTGAGGCAACAACTAACACAAGAAAAACTGTAATTAAGTGACAATTAGGTGATACCATCTAAGTATCTGCTTTTATCCCATGAGGTGAGGCCTAAGCCGGGGGTGGGAGGCAGGATATCCTTGGGCAAAACCTCACCCAATTAAAAATCAAGACAAATTAAGATGGATTCTTGTCCCTGTACTGTCCTTATTTGACTGAGCATATCCATCCTGTCAAAGGTAAACAAAGTAGGAGAAAGAAGGGGTGCTTTCAGAAAAGCAGTGGTTATTCAGCATCTGGTTCCCTACTTTCAGTTAGTCAACGAATATTTACCAAACCTCTACCACGACCAAGGTACAGTTTACTGTTTTCACTTTTTTAAATCAAAATATACCCGTCCACCTCTAACAGCCAGTAACCGCTGGACCAGTCTGGGCAGTCAGGCCAAGCCACATTACATCAGCCTCCGTACATTGCCTAAGACACACGTGCACAAGGACTCCAGATCCGCGTTCCAAGCTCTTTACAGAAGACGCGCCGTATAAACCCAACAGACGACAGGAAAATATCAATTAATGCAGCGCAGAGCACGGATTCGCCTTCCAACTGATAAGTCAGAAATGTCTGTCCAGAATGGCTCAGCCGCTCCAACGCCCTTGTCACTCTTTCACTAACCGCACCCACTCCTCGCACACATTTCACCCGCTCCCCACAAGCTCGACCCTCCCCGCCCGACGTCAGCCACCCCTCCTGCTCGCCCGCTCGGCCGTCACCGGCCCTTCGCTGGCCCGCGGCGCGTACCTCCCTCTCGGTAAGATTCTTGTCGGGCCCCAGTAGGTAGGGAGTCAGGAAGGGCTCGGACGGCCTGAGGCTGGCGAAGAAGCCGTAGGCGCAGAGCAGCGCGGTGGGCAAGAACCAGCACTCGCGGGGGACCCGAGCCGTGCGCAGGAGCATGGTGGCCGCCGCCGCCGCCGCCGCCCGCGGTGACACCCGGCCGGGAACATCCATCCCGGAAGCGAGGGGCGGGGACCGGCCCTGCCCCTTCCTTCTCCTCTTTTCCTCCTTCTTCAACTAGAATGAGGTTCCACGGCTGGCGCAGCGCGGCTGCGGGCGCCTGTAACCGAGAGTGGCGCCTCCTGCCGGCAGGGCCAGGCCGCCCAGGGCGCAGCCGCTGCCTCCGACCGCAGCGACCTGGGCCTTTCCCTGCAGCTGCTCCCTCGCATGTCACCGATCCGCCGCGCGGCCGTAAACAAGACACGCCCTAAGGCCCACCCTCCGCCTCTAGCCTTCAGCTGGTAACCAATCACAGCGGACGCTAGCATTTTGGCTGCTCTCCATTGGTCAGTGGCTCTACGCCCCTTACAAGATGCGAACGGGGAGCCGCGGAAAGTCGGGCCGTTGACATCCTCTGGCTCTGGCGCGCTGGGCGCGTGCGACTCCAGTCGGAACGCAGTGGCTCGTTGCGTCGGCGCGCTCTAGTTGGGCGGCCTGCCGCGGTCCCACACGCGCGGTCGGCTAGGTAACATTCAATGCTGCAGCTCACCTGTCGAGAATGCTCCATTGGGCCCAGCCTCCCGCGAAAGGAATGAGCCGTTCCACACAATCACCCTCTTTAATTCTTAATCACCGTTCCTCGGATTGCTACTCGCGTTCTGTTTTCCGAGAGACTGGGTGACCGAGGACGGTCAAAGATTTAACTTTGGGGCGGGGAAATGCTAAACCTTTCCTCTAGCGGCTTTATTTCATCGCCGACAGAAAGACACTAGAAGCTCAGGAGCTAACCGCTCAGGACGCTTACCAAGAGACTGAACCGAAGGAAGTAGAAAAAATAGCGTGAGAAGAATGAACAAGCTACCACTTAACAAAAGGACTATGATGTCCCAATTAAAGGGTTTTAGCTTGAGTTTCGTCATTTTTTTTTTTTTTTTTTGCAGGCAGGCTACAAAGAGAGCAATTCAATACATCACTGTGTTTAAAAGGAAAGTTGTCACAAAACATGATTGATCTCTGTGTTAGAGAAAAAGAGACCGGAGAGAGAGAAAGATGTAGGTCTTGGCACCATTTTCAAGGGCAAAGCCTGACAAGAATCCCCAGTGCTTGCTTTCATCTCCCTCTATGTGCCTCTTTCTGCCTGAAATCACAGCTCAATTCTACCCAATTCTTCCACTGCAGACTTAGCTGCACCATTTAAACCAATTTTCCGTGTGCAGTGTTTGTAGAGTAACAGATTCTACCAGAAGCTCATGGAAAACATTTTTGAACTCTATTTTTCTTTAATGTATGTTATGACCCATCTAGCTCAATTTTCCTCTTGTGGGGGCAAATGACAGTTTTTGCAAGTAGGATACATCAGCAACAAAAATTAATATGCCAGGTGGAACAGGTATTAGTAAAAGCAAAGAAAATTTGTTTCTAAGGCTGCACAAGCGAATGCACCAATATACTGTATATGAGTTGATTAATCTCTAAAGAAATTCAATTGGTGGCATTTACATCTATCCAAAAAAAAAAAAAAAAACTCATTTGTTGATTCTGACTCATAGTGACCCTATAGGACAAAGCAGAACTGTCCGCAAAGGGTTTCCAAGGCTGTAATATTTAGGAAACAGACTGCCACATTTTTCTCCCACCACATTTTTCTCCCGCTAAGCAGTTGGTGTCGGTTAGCAGCCGAGCACTTAAACCGCTATGCCATCTATCAGTGGATCTCAAAGTGTGGTCAGGAAGCCCTGGGTGTCCTCAGGACCTTTTCAGTGGTTCCACTAGGTCAAAAAACTTTTCATATTAATACTAAAACTTTATTTCCTTTTCTATTTTAGAGGCTATATGATGTGTGATGACATCACTCTGAAGATGAAGTGAATGTGTGCTTATATAGTCTTGTGTTTAAAAAATGTTTCAGGTTTAATTTCTAATGTGGCAAGTATCTATAGCTATAAAGCATAAAAACAAAAGCTCTTTAGGGTCCTCAATAACAAGGGTCCTGAGCCAAAAAGTTTGAGAACTGCTAATCTACTCAATACAATTGTCTAGGCCCACATTTAGATATTGCCAGCTCATCGTTACTTGACTCTACACAAAGAGCACCAGTGGTCTTCTTGGCAATCACTTTGCATTTACATTCAGTGCTTTAGTAAGAGATGGGAAGAGAAAGAAAGCCAGAAGAGGCCTCAGAAAGAGAAGCCTATATGTTAGGAACAGCTTCATGTTTTTCCTTGAGGGTTGGAGACCTGAACTGTGTTAATCTGTAAATCACTGGTTCTAGAACCCTTCTTGGTGTAAGTCACTTGTTGTTGTTGTGTGCTGTCAAGTCGCTTCCAACTCATAGTGACCCTAAAAGACAGAGTAGAACTGCCCCATAGAGTGTCCAAGAAGCAGCTGGTGGATTTGAACTGCTGACCTTTGGGTTAGCAGCTGACCTCTTAACCACTACACCACCAGAGCTCCATAAATCACTTAGCCACCTCAGATCTTCTTTGCTACAAGGCAGGATATTAACAAATAATAATATGTTCTTAATTATGTAGGAAATGATTTTTGTTATTTTTGTTTAAGAGCTTGTGGTGGGCAGATTTCTAAGAATGATCCCCAATGATCCTTGCCATTGTATAGTTCCTGTGATCATTAAGGTTATGTGTCAACTTGGCTGGGCCATGATTCTCAGTGGTTTGGTAGTCATATAATGATGTAATCACCTCCATGATGAGATATAATGCCATCACCTCCATGATGAGATCTGCTATGAGTAGCCATATGTGACTTTCTGACAAAGCTCACTTCTTTTGCTTTGCTCTGGATCCTGCATTCAGCTCATCAGCATCTGACCTCTAGTTCTTGTGACTTGGGCCAGCAGCCTGCTATCGTACCTGCCAATCTTGGATTCATCAGCCTCCGTGGTGTGAGCCACCACCCTACCGTCTAACTTGTGGATCTTGTGTTTGTCAGCCTCTGCAGCTACGTAAGTCAGGAGAAGCCTCCAGCCTGATGCCTGACACTTAACCCATGGACTTGGGACTTGCCAGCCTCTACAACCATGTGAGCCATTTCCTTGAGGTAAATCTCTCTCTGTCTCTCTCTCTCTATATATATATGTATATATGCACTTCAATGGTTTTGCTTCTCTAGAGAACCCAGCCTGAGACATTTGGTACCAAGAGTGGTTCTAGAGGAACAAAATTGTAAAGATGACTTTTCTACATTGGTTTTCAAGTCTGGTTAGTCTTAAAGATGTCGATGACTCTGCTTCCAGTAGTAAAGAGGGCACTGCTAATCTATAGCATGAGGGGTAGCAATAGAAATATGCAAAATATCACCACCAATAGATAGGTATTGGTGAGAGGCAAGGCTCTGGGTTATCTGTCTGATACCTTTCTACAGTTCTGTCAGAATGAGAAGTATAAGGAATCTGGTTGGTTGGTCCCACTTTCACTACACAAACTGTTAAAAGAAAGAAATGAGCTCGGGGCTTCAGGGTCAAAGCTCAAGTGCCATATAAATGACCTCGAAGTTTCATTTGTGCCCTGAAAGTCTTATTTCTGGTAGTAACAGAGCCGATGTTGCCGGAAACCAAACTCAGAGTCTTGTTGTAAGAGTGGCTGAATTACAATGTCAGTTGAATTCCCAAACTCAAATGGTGTCTGAAGCTAAAGTGAGGGCATTGGTTGGGAAGAAATGGGATCCTGAAACTTGGGATGGGGACATATAGGCAGACAGTCAGGAAGCTGGGGACACTGAGCCACTAAATTCCCTTGAATCACTCCTGCCAATAAAACCATTAGCCCTTCCACCCTCATCAAATGAGATCAACCCAGCTGTGTCTGAAGAGCCTTTGTCTGAGATATCACGTGGGGCAGCATCTGAGTCATCCCCTGGGGAGACAACTGAGTCATTGCTTGGGGCATCGCCTGGGGCAGATGCCTTACAAGACAATGCTGAATGTTCTCAAAACACACCTCCACCATCCATTTTGGCTTCTAGACCTACAAATACACTTAAGTCCCAGCGAGCCCCAAAAGGTGAAGTACAAAGTGTGACCCAGGAGGAGGTATGCTATACTCCAAAAGAACTGCTTGACTTTTCTAATATGTACAAACAGAAACCTGGGGAATACGTGTGGGAATGGCTATTAAGGGTGTGGGATAATGGTGCAAGGAACATAAAGAGGGCTCAGCTGAGTTTATTGATATGGATCCACCAAGCACAGATTCTTCATTCAGTATTACAGTTGAAGAGGTTAGGAAAGGATCTAAGAGTTTATTTGGTTGGGTTGCTGAAGCATGGATTATGCAGTGGCCTACACTAAATCAAGTTGTAGTACCAGACCTGCCTTGGTATCCTGTAGAAGAAAGTATCCAAAGGCTTAGGGAAATTGGTATGTTAGAATAGATTTATCAGGTTAGACCCACAGACCCACACATAGAGTGCCCAGAGGACACACCTTTTACCACACCAGTGAGGAACAAATTTGTGAAGGGAGCCCCAGCCAACATCCTTGAAGACTGCTGTGATTGCTATTTTATGTAAGTCATATTTACCCTAAGTGAATTAAGACACCTAAATACAGTGGGGCTGATTAAAGCCCATTGTGGTAGGGGCCATGTGGCGGCACTCAATCAACAAAGACAAGGTGGGCATGGTTACTGTGATGGACAGCAGAGTCAAAGCAGTAATCAGAATAGTCTGACTTGTATGGACTTAGGGCATTTGCTACTTAGTCATGGTGTCACTAGGAGTGAAATAGATAGGAAATCTACTAAATATTTACTTGATCTGTACAAGCAGATGAATTCTAGGTCAAGTGAACAACAGTATAACTGGAATCACCATAATAGAGAGTTATGTCCCCTCAATCAATTCCTAGACTTGAGCGAGTTTAAAGACCCACAACCCCTTGAATGAAGGGGAGGCCGGGTCCCCTTGAGGAAGGACCCCACTACAGTGCCAGAAATTTATACTGTTAATCTTTCTCCCAGCCTTCCCCAAAAGGATCTACGGCATTTTATGAGAGTGACTGTTCACTGGGGAAAAGGAAATAATCAGACTTTTTGGGAATTACTGGACACTGGCTCTGAACAGTAATTCCCGGAGACTCAAAGCATCACCATGGCCAACCAGTTAGAGTGGGGGCATATGGAGGTCAGGTTATTAACAGAGTCTTAGCTCATGTCCATCACACAGTAGGTCCAGTGGGTCCCCAAACCCATCCTATAGTGATTTTCCC